AGCGCTGTAAAACAGCCGAGAACCGTTGCGACAGCAGTACGTTAGAGCATACGACGCTGCTTGTCAACGATCGAAATTTTCATCTCTACTATACAGCGTCGTGTATCTCTGTCTCTCGCATTCTGGTTCGATTTATTACGTTAGAGCATACGCGATTAAACAAGAAGAACTAACTCTTTTGCTAATTCATTAACTTAAAATTCAACCATAAAATTTTGAAATTTTGAAATGAGTTGTCTGAAGCAAATTCAAATTAAAAATTTCAAGCATGCTATATCAAGTTATAAGAATCTGTAATTATGAGAAGATTTATTGCACTCACAAACAAAACTATAATTAAAGAAAGCAAATGACCAGATTAAAAAGAATATAATATACATGTGAATTTTTTATGTGTATAAATATTGAGTATCATCAACGAGCAGAAAAAAAATATAAGCAAGATAATTTATTTTAAAAACTATTTATTTTCTTTATTCATTAAAATGTTTCAATTTAACACAGGCGAAGACATCATACACGAAAACTCTTTTTGTCTTGTTAACATAATAATTTAATTCACTTATTTTCTTTAGTATTCTTCATCTGTTCCAGCGGTTCAGAATCATTCACATACTTAACCAAGAGTTGCATGATTTCGATTCTGAATTGTAAGCGATCAGCCAGTTTTAATTTGCACAACGTGGGGTATATGAATTTTAAAAATGTTAAATTGCCTCTCGAAAAATCCAGTTCAGTAATTTTTCTTTCAATTTCATCCATTTCAACTGAAACAAAATGAGTTACCAATTTTTTTAATTTAAAATATTCTGATGGAATTTTGTGTATTCTAAATATACTTTTTTTGTTATTTACCTGTTTCAATTTTTCAAATCAGTAATTTTCGTAACACGTACAAAATACAGACGCACAACACTAGAGACGGAGCCGAGAACCCTCGCTTTACCAGTACGTGAGAGAATATGTCATCGCTGTGCAACGTTTAAAACTTTCGGTCGTCTGTCGTCGTGAATCCCTACTTCTCCCCCTTCTCGCTTGATTCGTTACAGAGTGTTGTTCTGTAGCTGCACCGTTTGAATCGGCCACAGCCGAGTCTCTCGCATTGTGACTGGTCAGCGTTGTAAAAAGCCGAGAACCGTCGCTTCAGCAGTACGTTAGAGCATACGACGCTGCTTCTCAACGATCGAAATTTTCATCTTTTGTTTTGTTGACGATACGAGTGTTCGTTCGAGTTTATCCGTTTAAATCGATTAGTTACTGGTCAGAAGCTACGACGCTGGCAAAGTTTGATTTTATGAGTGTCGACTCGGAATTTTTTCGTTACATCTTACTTTAATTTTAAAAGTGGAACGTTTTAGACTACATCGGATCGTACGAGTATTGACGAACTATTTTTCGATCAAGAAGCTGTAAAAAGTAAGTGCTTTTCATTATATTATTTTGCTCAATGATTGCAAGTGACATTATTCATAATGCAATGTATGTTATAACTCGACATAACCTCCTTCTTACATTGTTTTGTTACTTTGCATGTCAAACGATTATAGTAGTTCGAGCTAGCTGCTACTATACTTTCTTTTTTTCCTTAATTTTGATTGATTTTCTCATGATTTTTGGATTTCATTACACTTTTAATATTATTGTCAGTACATTTTATTAACAATAAATGGATGATTATTTTTGTAGTGACTTTCACTTGGACTGATCCTAAAGTTGTTGCACTGATTGAGGAAGTTGAAAAATATCCTACAATATGGAACTTAAAACATCCAGACCACAAAAAACAAAAGGTGTTGTCTTCAATTTGGAGCAAAATTGCAACAACCGTTGGCGTTGGAAGTAAGCTATGATTATAAATGTTTATGGGTTATATCACAAAAATTTGCTAGTTTAAAAAATGAAATTGAAACAAAGTATGTACTCTTGAAGAGTACATTGAAAGATGAAAATCCTGAAAATTTCATTTTTTGAACTAGCAACTCTTTTGTGATATGACCTTTATATATCATGTATCAACCATATTATTATATAAAACTCTAATTGAATAATAATTTTTACAGAGCTTCAAGCGAGGAACAAATGGAGAACATTGGCAACAACTTTTAAAAGTGAACATGCCAAATACAAAATTAATTTACCATCTGGGTCTGCAGCTACTTTTGAACCTGAGGACAGGTGGAATTTCTACGATGACATGAGTTTTATGATTCCCTGTATAGAAATGGAAATGAGTGGAAATATCAATCTGAGTTTTCATGAAATTTATGCTAACCAACCTACGAGTCATGGTATTGTGTCATCATCAGTGCAACATCCATCAACCTCATGTCAAAATCAATGGACGTCATGGCAAAATCAATTGACTTCAGGTCAAAATCTATCAACATCAGGTCAGAATCTATCAACATCAGGTCAAAATCAATCTACATCATCGAAATCAATGCCAAATTCATTGATTGAAAATGAGTTCAACGTTACTAATAATATTTCCACAGTAATGCCGCAAGCAAGTGTTAACGGTAAAGCTGACTGGAAATTCCTAGAAAGCCTTGATTATTATATGAATCTAATTGATGATCCTACAACGAAATATCAGTTCTGCCTCGAAGTATCGTGCTCGCTATTCAATATTTTGCAAAAAAACAAAGAAAAGACTGAAGATCAAGAGAAGTGCGTTAATTTGAATAATATTAAGATGAGGGAAACAGTTGATAATAATCATATAGATTCTATAAACAAAAAAAGGCCAATTTCTTGTGGTACCGAGCTTTGCTCCAATTTGAATAGTATTGCTATGGAACAAGAACTTTCAGATCAATGTGAGCCTGATAACAGAATTAATGTTATGAATCCTGATAACAGAAGAATTGAAAATCAACCTGAACGTGATAACGGAAAAATCGATGATCAATCTGAACATAACAACAACAGAATTGATGATTATTATGATGATGATGGTAAGCTTGAACATGATGCTTTACTTTTTTTAGACAGTCATGCAGTATACCAACTTTTCTTTTCAGATATAATGATTATCGACGAGATAAAACCTGTACAGAAAAAAAGAAAAGTCGAAATTGAACCAACGCAATGTCTACAGTCATTTTTGAAAAATCCCTTCGAGCCGAAGAAAGAGTTCAAGTCTGAGTAATGTAACATTGGAACCAATGTTACAGATTCATCAATTAAGTTTTTTCCTGATCAAGAATCAAATTTACTCAGTTCTTGAGTTATTATTTAACTTATACTTTTATTTCGATATTGATTTCAATATAGTAGAATTTTTTTGTTTTAATTGGTTCAAAAGCTTTGATTGATAAAATGTCTTAGTTTAGACTAGATATTTAAATCAATATGATTAAACTTTTATAATTTTACATTGTATAAGAAGCCTTTAACGACAATATGTATCTCAATTAACTTTATGTTTGAGTTTTACAAAATATGTAAAAATTATTAGTTTAAACTAGATATTCAGTACAATATAATTGAACTTTTTTAACTTTGAATTGTATAAGAAGCTTTGAATAACAATATACGTCTGATTAGATTAGATAGTTTAGACTAGATATTCACAACAATATAATTGAATTTAAAAAAATTAAAATGTGTAAAAAGCTTTGTTTGACAATATATGTCTGACTAGACTGTTACATTTAGACTAGATATTCAAATAAATATCATTGAACTTTTTTAATTTTGAAGCACATAAGAAGCTTTAAGTGACAACACATGTCTTAATTACTTAACTAAATAATTGAGTTTCAAAAAATATGTAAGACTTATTATTTTAGATTAGATATTGCAGTTAATATAATTTCATTTTAATAATTATAAAATTTATAACCAATAAAATGTTTAAATAAAGGTTATGTTCAAATATATATATGAAAAGCTTTGATTGCAAAATATTTAAACTATACTGGTTTAGACTAGATACTCAAATTGATATGATTTTACTTTTATAATTTTAAATTGGATAAGAAGCTTTTATTGACAATATACGTCTGATCACATTAGATTGTTGAGACTAGATATTCAAATTAATATGATTTAATATGAGAAAAATTAAAATGTATCACAATAAAAATTTATGTATATAAATGGAATGTTTAAATGATTATAAAAAGCTTTGATTGCAATATATGACTTTATTTACCTTATGATTTAGTTTTAGAAAATATTTAAAGCATATTTAATTGAGATAAATGCTGAATGAAGTTGCTTGTCTGAAATCGTTTTTATTGTACAGGGTTTTGTAAAAAAAAAGATAGAAGCGCATCCCTCACCCACTGACCATCGCCTGTCAATGGCTCATATTGAGGAATATATCCTTCGTCATATGATGGATCATAAGACATCTCTTTGCCAATATTTTTTTCAATAATAATATTGTGTAAAACACATGCAGCCTGTATAATAAGGACAGCTTTTTCGAGATCTTGCTCAATAGGAGTTTCGAATATGTGCCACTTTCTTTTGAGTCTCCCAAAAGCGCGCTCCACCGTCATCCTCGCTCTTGAGATTCTTCGATTGAACACAGTTTGATGGGGTTCTAAATCGTTGCCGGAATACGGTTTTATAAGATTTCGGCTCAGTGGATAAGCTCCATCGGCAATAATAAAATACGGGAGTACGGGTGTACGTATCCCGAAGCACTCTTCATCTGGTGGTAGCTTTACCACGTTCCATTTTAGACCTTTAAACAATGTACTATTACGAAAAGTATTGGCATCATGCTGAGAACCGAAGCCTCCGACGTCTATAGAAATAAACCTTAGGTTGGCGTCCACTAGAGCTTGCAGCGTTATTGAATGGAATTTTTTATAATTAAAATAAAGAGAATTCGAATGAGCAGGTTTCTTTATCCTCATGTGACATACATCGAGTGTACCAACGCAGTGAGGTATTGACCATAAATTTTGAAATTCGATGGCCGTTTCAAAAAGAATGTCCATATTTGGTTGCGGCATATGGATTGGGCCAAGGGTATACCAAATTTCTGTTACTACATCACCAAAAATAGTACCTGCTTCTGATTGACTGATTCCAAAAGTATGCTCGATATCGGAGTAAGACATGCCAGTACACAAAAGCCTATTGCAAAATTTTCAATATTATTTTGATTAATAATCTAGAGTGAGTGAAAAAATATATTTACCTCAAAGTTATAACGAATTGTTCTTCGGGTAGTATGGGCTCTTTATGAAAATTGCACCAATTTTTTAACAGATTATCACTTATCTTGGATAATATGTAATTGAAAGTCTCGATTGACATCCTGCAGTAATTACTGAATCGAGTTGCATCTCCTTTAATATGAAGAAAATAGCAAAAATACTGCGATCGATTCTTCCGTGAATCTGTCATTGCAGTACTTAACTTGTGTTCTGTATCGAAACAATTGAAACTTTACGCGCCGTTAATTTACAGTCGAAACTGGTGTTTGAAGGCAGCTATAATTGTGTGTAGGGTGCTGAGCAGTGCTACTTGCGTCAAAAAAGTTTTTCTCGCGTATACGCATGCACAAGCACAAGGTAATGAAGTAAGATGTACACGTAGAAAAAAGCCAACTGTCGCACTTCAAATTGGTATAAAAAAATGTGTGACCGATTATATAGCCCCCAAGGAAACTCAATCGAACACTCGTATCGGTAACGAATCAAGCTAAAAACGCGAGAGACTTGGCTGTGGCCGATTCAAACGGTGTAGCTATAGAACAACACTCTGTATCGAATCAAGCGAGAAGGGGGAAAGGCAGAGATTCACGACGACAGACGATACGAAAGTTTCAAACGTTGCACAGTGACGGCATATTCTCTAACGTACTGCTGTCGCAACGGTTCTCGGCTGTTTTACAGCGCTGACCAGTCACAATGCGAGATACTCCGTTGTGACCGATTCAAATGGAGTAGCTAGATAGAACACTCTAACGTAACGAATCAAGCCAGAACGAGAGTGATAAAGGAACGCATCGTTGTCAAGACGATACGAACTTTACAAGTGATTCTCGAATTGTGGTATTATCACGATTCTAATATTCGCGATATTTTAATCACGATTATTAAAATCACGATATTGAAATCGCGATTATTAGAATCACGGTTTTAAAATCGCGATTATTATAATCACGGTTTTAAAATCGCGATTATTAGAATCGCGATTATGAGCCGCGTCATAGTCGCGATTATTAGAATCGCGATTATGAGCCGCGTCATAATCGCGATTATTAGAATCGCGATTGTAAGGCGCATCATAATCACGATTATAAGAATCGCGATTATAGGTCGCATTATAATCACGATTATTAGAATCGCGATAATTAGAATTGCGATTATAGCCGCATTATAATCTCGATTAGAAACCCGGGATAACCACGATATAGCTTCGATATAATCGCGATTTAAACCACGGTATAATCTCGACGTAATCGCGATTTGAACCAGAGTATAATTTCGGGATAATCGCGATTAAGACCACGGTACAACCACGATCATAATAATCGCAAATCGCAACTCCTGCATTAGGAGAACATGCATCGCTCGGAAAGTTTATGTGGATTGGACGAGTGCGGTCAATTTGATAATTTCGATTTGCGATCCGACAATTTGAAAAACCT